ACCCTTCCGAGATGGGGGCTGGAATCTGCCTGTTAATCACCATTCAGGTAATTATGACATTTACATCCTCTCCTGACTAACAGTTCTCAAACAGCAAACTGAGAGGAAGCCAGGTACCCCGGGGTTGCCTGCCTGGATCCAGCGGAGGCAGGGGGCTCTGCAACTGCTCTGCGCAGCTGAGGGCGAGCTCCAACCCTGCCTTCAGCGTGTCCGTCAGAGGGCCCACGACTGAAGGGGGGGGACCGTGTCCTTGGGGACAGGTACACAGTGTCAGATTCTTTACCTTTGTGACTTTTTAAATTTTACAGCTCTTTGTTGCTGGCTTAATTGTCTTGCTTTTGGATGAACTCCTGCAAAAAGGGTATGGCCTAGGCTCTGGTATCTCCCTCTTCATTGCAACTAACATCTGTGAGACCATCGTATGGAAGGCATTCAGCCCCACAACTGTCAACACTGGCCGAGGTAAGAGCCCTCAGCTGCCCTGGTGACACAGTGCCGTCACGAGTACTGACGTGGACCAGGCAGAAGGCGGAGGTTCCCCGTCCCACAGTCCCATTGGAGCTGCACCTCTGGCTCTTTCTGTGTGCACCTGCAGCATGTTTGTAAACACAGATGGCTTCATACACTTAATGCTGCCTAACTTGCATTTTTTCTATTAAGAGTATTTCATGGGCATTTGGTGTGCTAGAATAATTTTCTGCGTGATTTTTCTTAGCATGAACTTGTAATGGAAGGATGAAGTCATATTTACTTTAACCAGTTATCTTGTGATATTTAAGTACTTGGTAGTTTTTTTGACTTGTTAACATTAAACATCCTTTACAGTCACTCCCAGCAGATTACGTTTCAGAAGATGCTGTTACTAACCCCGAGCACCCAGTCGTGCATGCAGGGACAACCTTGTGAGAGCAGCCTGGACTCGGGTTTGTTTACCACCTGGGTTCAGATCCTGGCTGTTCTTGCTAGTTGTGTGGGCTTTGGGCATATTCCTGCCCTGTGGAGCCTCGGGCACCAGCAGAAATGAGCAACAAGATGAAATTGTATGATGGCGAATTTTTCCATTTACATAATACCTAACAGTAAATCAGATCAGATATTGGTATGCTCCATTGTATCCACTGATAATGCCACTGAGAAGTCTTGTGATGGGGTGTTTGTAACAAAGGTTTCTAAACACGTAAGGGAAGCCTTAGAACAAGACTTGATAGAAAAGGAGAGCAGGCAGTTTTTGTTGCTAAATACGTTACTCAGAAGAGTCCCATGAGAAATGTTTGTGTACGTTTGAGTGTTTTCTTGGAATTGAATGCTGGAAATTGTCCCTGGCTTCCAGAGACCATATCCTCTCTTCACTGAGACCAAAAATGAGTCCCAGGACAAGTGAAGGCCACCTGTGCCTTCCAGAGAAGGGAGTACACCTGAGCGGGGAGACGTTTGGGGAGCCTTAGAATGAATGAGCTCAGAGTTTACTGCCTTGAGCATTTCCTAGTGTTTTAGGAAATCCAAGGCAAATTGGGAGAAGCTAGGGAACCGAAGGCATGGTTTTTGCAGAGTCGAATATGAGAAGGCAGGACGATCGAGGTGCAGTCGGATCCAGGTGTTTGGTGATAACCCTGGTTGTCCCTGGCCCTGGGGGAAACCTGAGCTAGAAGGAAGTAATATAGGAGTGGAAGCCAAGGTAGGGCAGTCAGGGAAGGCCCAGGAGACTGGCAGCAGCTGGACAAAGCTCACACGCCGTCCTGGAACAGGGCACTGAGTGCCAGGAGTAGCGGCTGGAAGGAAAGATTTGCTCCATTCTGGAAGACTGGCGCAGACGGCGGTCCAGTGAATGCAGCACTGCTCTGGTCTTGGCCAGCCAGCCTGGCAGAAGCATGGAGTCAGGGCACCAAGAGGAGAACACGCAAGAGATGAGACACAGGAGGCACATTCAGGGCTGTGAGAAACTTTGAAGTAAACGTGTCACAGGGTCCATCGGCCATTGGGAGGTGGCTGGAGCAGAGGTGCATTTGGGGAGGAGGTTGCCCGGTTTCCTGTGTGTGGGTGGTCCATGGCGCTGGAGGGAGCACTGTGCTGGCTGCGGAGCAGCAGGGAGGACAGTGGAGTCACCAGGACCCACCTCGGGGAAGGGCGGGTAGGTGTGCAGGGCCGCGGGGAAAGGCTGGCCTTCCAGCTGTGCCTGGAGCTGAGCTGCCCTTGGCCTGACACACAGGTAGGGGCTGTTGAGTGGACCCTCCGTTGCTTTTCCTGGACATCGAGAACAATCTCGAACGGGGAATCAGCAGGGACAGCTCAGGCACAGAACAGCCTTGCTCCTGAAGTCCCTCTAGCACCTAGAAACTTCTCCCAAAGGTTCAGCAGGTAGTGAATTTGAGAAATAATTAAAAAATTAGAAGATAGATATTAGAAGAGTTATGGCCTAAGCCTGGCACTGCCGTTAGCTACCTTCCTTCCAACAAATACCTCATGTATTCAGTAAGTACTAGGTGCTGCTGTAGACACTGGGGAGACAGAGCGAATAAAACACATGCTGTGTGTCAGTTGGTGCCACAGGGACCCTGGAGCAAAACCAAGCAGAAGAAGGCGGAACTCCCGGGGAAGTTGCTGCTCTGTGAGTCTGGGCAGGAAGGAAGGCCTCACTGACAGTGGAGTAAAGTTCTGAGAGATGAGGGAGGGACACAGCGGGAGCAAAGGCCCTGAGGTAGAAATGCACCTGGTGGGTTCCAGGATCAGCATCTGTAGCCAGAGCAGAATGAACAAGGTGAGATCAGAACTGGGGGAGTGGGGCATGAATAGTTTCCTTCCTTCCCCGGCACTAGCTTCCCTGTAACCTGCAAGGCAGGGAGACAGGCCAGTGTTGTCCCATAGGCTACAAGGTGGGGAGGGTGAGGCCTTAGAGAAGATCACCACAAGTGAGGTGAGGAAGCCCGGACAGTTGAGACGGTGCTCCCCCAGCTCGGCCACCTCCCATGGCTGCGGTGGTCAGCAGCGGTGCTGCTTAGGTGTCTGCCTGATGCCGTCTCTGAGTGTCCAGGCAGAGGCAGCAGGTGCATCCAGCTGTCATCTGTTAGAAACTTGAGGAAAACATCCCAGGGTGTACCTCATGCTCCTCACAGTCCCGATAACATTGCCTGCCCCGCCCACAGAGCTGGGTCTCTGGAAATGGCATCCACTTCCTGCCAGGACAAGGGGCACACGTGGCCAGCCTTCATGGGACTAGAGCTGTGCCAACCTGGAACAGCAGAATTTGCACTGTGAGGCGATGCTGTTTGTCCCTTCACCACATTTGTCCCCCGCTTCACAAACAGGGATGGAATTTGAAGGTGCCATCATCGCCCTCTTCCACCTGCTGGCCACACGCACAGACAAGGTGCGAGCCCTCCGAGAGGCGTTCTACCGCCAGAACCTGCCCAACCTCATGAACCTCATCGCCACCATCTTTGTCTTTGCAGTGGTCATCTATTTCCAGGTGCGTCAGAACTGGCCACAGGCAGTCGTGGGGGCCTGGGTTTGCGTTTCTGGGTGCCTGCCTCTGTGCATCCCTGTGTTGGGGGTTGCCACGTCATCACAATATGGAGATGTGGAGGTGGCACTCGAGCCACACACAGTGTATTCACTGCATCATGGGAACTTGAGCCAACTAAGCAGAATTCACATTTCTGAAATCACGTTCCCTTGGCTGGCCTGCCAGCAGATGAGATATACAGATGAGATATATTAATGAGGGACGGATTTCAGGATCCCCAAAGCCCACAGTTGCTCAAGTGTCGTGTATAAAATAACACAGTATTCGCATTTAACTACAGTTATCCCCTTGTGTGCATGAAATCCTTTCATATATGATACCTGATACAAGTGTGATTTAAGTATTTTAGATTGTATTGTTTAACAAATAAGAAAGTGCGTATCTGGTAGACGATTTTCTTCTAGTATTTTCCACCCGTGGTTGCTTGAATCCATGGACGCAGAACCCACGGACGCAGAGGGCTGGCTGTTTGAGTTCTTAGTTGAGGAGAAGTGAAAAGGAAGCAGGCTCTGAAACGCCTGCTGCTTCAGCGGCGTAGTCACAGAGGGTGTGTGGGCAGTGTATTCATCCAGGAACAGGCTCTTCCTCTCGAGAGGAAGGTGGAAATTATCACTCTCCCTGACTTCTGGATAAGAGACCTGATCCGGTAGTTGCGAGGCTGTGCACTGGCTTGTCTTTTGTACTCTGTGATTGTCCACGCCATGTGTTTTTATTGAGAAAGGAGGAGACGCGGCAAAGCAGTGTGGCGTTTGTGAGGAGGTCATTGTACCGACCACATGCTTTTACTTGACCAAATAATCAACCTGTCCGCGCTACTAGGACTGAGTCAGGTGTCTGAATCACAGCAGACTCGTCGGGGGCTTGGCAGGTGTGGCCGTCGGAGCATTAAGAACTTGTTACTGGAGTGCTCTGAGGCTGCGCCCTCTTAGGTACCGAGAGTTATAAAACTGCTGAAAAGGAGTGTTCTCCGACATCTCAGAGACGGGGGTTGCTTTCGTGGCACATTAGACTTTCCCGTTCAGGATCAAACCCCAGGCCCGCTCGGTGGCATGAGGCTGATGTAGTGGCCCTGGCCCAGGGCCGGGAGACGCACTGTTAGGATTTGGGTATGTGCCCTTGCGGGCTTCTCTGTGTATCCACATGGGTGTGGCTACCATGTGGTAACTTGGTTTTTAATAAAAGTGGGGTCATACCAGTATGCTGCGTTAAAGCCCATTTTTAACCCAGGCTTTCTGGGACTGCCCTGCCTGTGTGCCCACGTAACAGTGCTGGCAGCGGTGGGCAGTGAAAGGGCGTGAGCTCCCAGATGCTCTCCCAGACCACCTCCCTCCTGCCTGACCTGAGCACCCCCACCCCATCTTTCTCTGAGCACTGGCAGCACTGAGCAGTGACCAGCGTTTTTGTTCTCTTTGGCTTCTCAGGGCTTCCGAGTGGACCTGCCAATCAAGTCAGCCCGCTACCGTGGCCAGTACAACACCTACCCCATCAAGCTCTTCTACACCTCCAACATCCCCATCATCCTGCAGTCCGCCCTCGTGTCAAACCTGTACGTCATCTCCCAGATGCTGTCCGCGCGCTTCAGCGGCAACCTGCTGGTTAGCCTGCTGGGCACCTGGTCTGTGAGTACACTCTGTGCACAGAATTATTTTCGGCAGTGGTTCTTGCTTGTGACAGATCATGTTACCCAGAGATATTTTCTAATTGTGCCTTTTACAAATTCAGCATATTGCAAATTGTTTTTAGCAAGGAAATTGCTTGACTAAAAGGTATTCTTTGGTTTGCTCAGAGCTGTCTTTCTGTGCTGGCACTGAAGTTCAGTGAAACAACGCCACAGGGCAGAGGTGTGGTGCAGAGTCGAGGTGCCCCCGTGCCCGCCTCCCCAGCAGAGTGCCAGGCTTGCATCCGCTCCACCTGCCTGCTAATGCTCCGGGGAGGTAGCAGGTGGTGGTCTGTGCACTCGCCACTTCCATGGGAACCCAGACGGAGTTCCCAGCTCTTGGCTTTGGCTGGCGCAGCTCCAGCCATTTTGGGGTGAATCAGTGGGTGGAAGATACCTCTCCATCTGTCTCTTTCTCTCTCTGCCTTTCAAATAAAATGAATGAATAAGTGTAAGTCTGTATATTTAAAGCAAGAAACAGCCTTCACAGGCATTTTGGTGCTTTGCAGGACACCAGCTCCGGGGGCCCGGCGCGCGCTTACCCCGTGGGTGGCCTCTGCTATTACCTGTCTCCTCCCGAGTCCTTCGGCTCTGTGCTGGAGGACCCCGTCCATGCCGTTGTGTACATCGTCTTCATGCTGGGCTCCTGCGCCTTCTTCTCCAAAACGTGGATTGAGGTCTCGGGTTCTTCTGCCAAAGATGTAAGTAGAAGTACAGACGTCCGAGATTCGGTTGTTGCTGGCATGAGGGGTACTGACTCTGACCTCCTCCTGTGAGAGCCAGCTCAGAAGCAGGCAGGGCCAGCAGCTGGAGCCCAGCAGCCTATCAGCACCGGGCTTTGTCACGTGACTTCCTTGTGGCAGCCCTCAGATTCTCTCTGTAAATAGTGTTAGGGCTGGGGAAGGAAATCTGCCCTGTGTAGTGTCACATGACTGCCTGCACGCCTCTGGTTGGTGCCCTGCAGGTTGCAAAGCAGCTGAAGGAGCAGCAGATGGTGATGAGAGGCCACCGGGAGACGTCCATGGTCCACGAGCTCAATCGGTAAGTGCAGCCCAGTCCCTGACCTCCCATTATTGCACCTGCGCTGTTTTCTTACACAGCTGGGTCTCATCCTCGGTCACTGAACAGTAAGGTCCCTGTGGAAAGAAATACTTGGGAAATTGCTAAGTGCCAGACACTGCTGAACACAGTAAAGTGAAGCTGCAGAGGCCCCCTCTGAGGGTGGCGAGATGGGAGCTTGTGGCCAGAGGCGGGTACAGGACGGTATGGCAAGGCCCTGAGTGCGGTGCAGGCTGTAGTGGCCCTCACCTCTCTTCATCCCCGTGGGATGCTGAAGGGAGCAGCCGGGTCCTGGCCTGAGCACAGGTGAGGGCCTGAGGTTGTAGAAGCTGGGCCTAGAAGAGGCTGATGCCCTTTGAAGTGGGGAGGAAGGTCAGGCTGCCAGATGAGAGAGGCAGGAGCCAGAGGTGGGAGGGTGGTGGCCACACGAGGGAGAGCAGCGAGCTGAGGAGGGGTGCTCCCTTCCCAGCAGTCTGTTGGCTGCTTTTGTCACAGGGAATGGAGCTGCCCCTTGGGCAGGGTGGGTGGCAGCGTGAGTGTTGCTGGCTTTTCCAGCCACATAGTGGCTGTCACTGCTTATCCATTGTCACTTGAAATCAAAGACAAAACTACTTACTGGCAGAATCAGGTGTCAGGCAACTTGTCCCGTGGGCCACAGCTTGCTGGCCTCTCTGCTGAAGAAGCAACCACACGAAAAGCCCCAGTCGTGCATTTCACATCCCTCGCAGGGACAGCAGTCCGTTGCATCCATTCTCCTAGTCTAGCACTGTTCATTAGAAATAATACAAGTCACATTTATAAATTTTAAAAATCTCTAGTAGACATGCTAGGAAACTGAAAAGTCGGTTAAATTATATGCATACTAATACAGTGTATCCAGAGCATCATTTCAACTTGTAGTTGAAGGAGAAGTCACATTGAGATGCTTCACAGTCTTGTTTCCACATCATCTCGCTTGGGACCATTAGCCACATGGGGCCAGCGTGGCCAGCTGGTGGACCATGCAGCTCCATAACGTTAGGGTGGGACAGCAAATGAAGTCTCAAGGAGGCAGCAGGGTGGCCTCTGGGGCTGCTAGCCACAAGTGAACCTGTTGGGCCATCCAGCCCTTTTCTGCATCTCAGATTAGGGGTAGATCAGCTGGGGGCCTCACTCACCCTCTCCCACTCCCCCAGGTACATCCCCACAGCTGCAGCCTTCGGGGGGCTGTGCATCGGGGCCCTCTCAGTCCTGGCCGACTTCCTGGGCGCCATTGGTTCTGGAACGGGAATCCTGCTCGCGGTGACAATCATCTACCAGTACTTTGAGATCTTCGTCAAGGAGCAGAGTGAGGTCGGCAGCATGGGGGCCCTTCTCTTCTGAGCCACGTCTCCTCAGGGACCGGGAGAGGCCGAGGCCGCGCGCTCCGGAACTGCCTAGAGACGGGCGCTCTTCTCACAGGAGAGCACCGCTGTGGCATTTGGACTTTGTTTATTAATGTTTTTTAATTTCATATTCCTTCATTCCACTGTGTAAAGTGCTAGACATTCTCCAATTTGAAATTTTGCTCTTTTATTCTGGCATTGGCAAAACGAACTGTAGAAGTGAGTTTTCCTTCAGCTGATTGCCAGAGATGGGAATGGTGTATGATTGTCCCCAAGCATCCAGGAACGTTTGCTTTAGCCTTGGCATCTTCTCAGTGCCGCCCCCCACAAAGGGAGTTGCTGGTTCTGGTTGGAAGCACAAACCCTGAAATGTCAGCGTTTCATTTTGGCAGTAGCGTGGGAAGTGGGGGATCACGTGTTGCTGAGGATGTAAAAGTGGGGAACCTCACAGCCGGGTCTCCTTCAGTCAGGGACCGGAATATCTGGCTTCAGACTGTTCTCTGTAAGACACCATTGTTGTCCCTTTTACACGGTTTTTTAAGCACAGAGCTTCTTCCAAAAGACGGACACGTTTCCCAGAGGACACTGGGCCATCCGTTGGTTTCCCATGTGTGTGCTGTTGGCTCCTCCAGCCTTGAGGCTGAGAGCAGGCTGCTTGTTTGCACCATCTCTGGTCAGCTCATGTCGCCTCCGCTGGAGCCAGGTCAGGGTTCGGCAGCTGTACCAAGTGGAGCCTGGCCAGGCGAGTCACATGTCTGTGTGGAGGGCCCTTGCAGCGACGTGCATCCGGCCGGCCGGCTTCTGCCAGTTGTCCTGGAATTGTCTCCTCGTGGCTACACTACTGGTACCCACTGTCCCCTAGAAAGGGGACAGGCCGTGGCAGCAGGCAGGCACCAAAGGAAAGCAGCAGTTCTTGGGCTGCCTCCCTCTCTCTATACAGAGCCCCTACCGTTATTCTAGAATTGTCTTCCGGTGCTCGGGACCAAACGCAAGTGCATCAGGAGATGCCAGAGCCCCTCTCCAGGTCCGCGGACTTGGCAGAGACGGGAGCACACAGGCGGCTCCTCACTGGGGAAGTCAGGTTCCGAGAGCTTGGGTTCTCACGCTGCCCCAGCTTCCACCTGCAGACTCGCACTTGGGTCTGCAGTCAGTGACAGCTGGGGACCCAGGTCTCGGCTTTCACGGAGGCCCTTGGTGGGAGCCGAGTGCTGCCTGGTGAGGGCAGCAGGCTGGGGACGAAGATACTGGGGGACCTAAGGCTGAGTGAGCCTTAGATACTGGGGGACCAAGGGTGTTCTCGTGGAGGATGCCCCTTCTAAGAAGGGAGCCTGGCGGCAAGTGCAGCCATGGAGGAGACGCCCCCCCAGCAGCGCGCAGCCCCGTCACGATTACTTTTTACCTGTCTGAGTCGGGTTGGGGCTTCCCAGGAGACCTCACTGGCAGTGCTGACCAGGAAGCAGACTGGCCTAAAGCCACCTGGCAAGTCAGTGGCACCACAAAGTGGACTCAACCACAGCCCAGGACTCAACACCATACCACACGTGGCCTTGTCTAGACCCAGTCCTGAGCAGCCGGGAGCTCGTAAGACCTGGCGCCGCCCTCTGCAGGGTCCTCCCACTCCTGCCCTCTGTGGCTGCCTCAGAGCAGCAGGCCCCTCCCAGCCAGCCCTGGGGCTGCCGCGGGCTCTGGCGAGGGGTAGCGTGACCGTGGGCCAGAGTGCGCCAGGCCTCGGGAGGAGCCCTGCCATCCTGCCTGCTGCTGTAACCATCCAGCTGGGCCGTGTGCGGCCTGGGCTCGCGCCCTCTGGTTGATGTTCAGTGTGTGGGTGGGCAGGGGCTGACCCCTGCTTCCAGGGGACTGTCACTGTGGACGCCAAAATGGCTTAACTGAGATACGGTGAATAAGTGACAAATAAAGCCAACTTTTTACAAGCTACTTGGTCATGTTCTCTTTTTGAATTAGGTTGTATTCCCAGTAACAGCACAAGGCTTAGACCTCTGGGTGTGTCAGACGGCACATTTCCGTGGGTCTTCCCTCCACCAGGTGGAAATTCCCTCCTCAGAGAGGTATTTGGCCAGGAACACTTGTGCCTGGTGGTGATAACAGCCTCGTGGTCACACTTCCTGGTGAAGTGAAACACACAGGGACTGATCTGCCAAAGCCAGAGGGCTGGTGCAGCCTTGCAGCTGCTACGGGGCTCTCCTGGGAAGGCAGAGTGCCCACCACTGTCTTGTGGGGACCCTGAGGCCTCCAGAGGCAGCACCCCTAGCCCCTGACAGAGGGAGCCTGTGGCCCCACACCTTTGCCTCCCTTCTCAGCCCCCGAGGCATGGCCCATGGCCAAGGGGAAAGCATGGCTTCCAGACAAAGGCATGTAGCGCCGTTCCAGGATCATCTGGGAGCCAGCCTGAACTTCCAGCATCTGGATCCGGAGAGCCCCAGGGCGCTCCTAACTAGAGCAGTGCCCACTTCACTCCCTGCCTCCAACCCTCTGGGTTGTCACACTCTTCCCAGTTAGCAAGCATTATGAAAGCCCTGCGCAGATGGAACAGAGCTGCCTCTTCCCTGCGCTCCCTCTGTCTGCTGCTCAGTAAGGCTAAGACCAACTAAATGTCCAACAGAAGGGGCCTGAGTAAACCAACAACACCTCCCTCTGGAGAGATCTCCATACAAGGGTGGGAGACGTCACCCCGGCGGGCCACATAAGGCCCACAGAATCACTTGGTCTGGGCCTGCCAAGGCAACCACAAGTGGAACTTGAAATTCAGTAAATCTATAGCAGTCCAGTTTTTAAGCTGCTGATTTTGTATGGCCCGTGAATGATGTCTTGCCCCCACCACGCTCTTCCTCTCGGAAACTAATCCACCTCAACACAAATGGTCCTTGGCAGAAAAAAGGTTCCCCAGCCCTGTCGGACTGTTCTTTATATATACTGAGAAGACTCTCCAGGAGTCACCAATATCCCATAACAGGGTTCAAGTCCTGGTTCCACATTCTGCTAACACACACCCTGGGAGGCAGCAGGTGAGGGCTGAAGTAGTTTTGTCCTTATCACCCAAGTGGGAGACCAGGATTGAGTTTCTATTTCCTGGCTGTGGCCTAGCCCAACCAACTCTGGCTATTACAGGCATTTGGGGAGTGAACCAGTGGTTCATACACACACACACAATAAATAATGAAACTTTTTTTTAAAAAATAGGGAGTTGAAAAAATAGATTGCACCAGGAAAAAGCCCCGCAGTTTTTCATAACACCAAGCATATTCCTACCTTGTAGTCAGCTATCCCACTTGGGCACTGACCCAAGAGAAAAACACAGACCTACACAGACTTGAACAAGGGAATATTCACAATAGCTGACAACTGGAGCCATCAACAGGTGAATGGATTAGGAAGCTATGGCACGTCCATATGATGACATCTTAAACTACTGGTCCATACCACGATGTCCATGAACCTCAAAAGCATTCTCAGTGAAAACACAAACGAGCACACACACGATGAATGGTCCCATTCATACAAAATCCTGGAGCAGGCAAGGCTAAGCTGGGGCAGAAAACATCCTGACGGTGGTTGCTTCTCAGGGAGTGGGGATTGTCTGGGGAGAGGCACAGGAACTTTCTGGGGTGCCAGAAACATCCTAGGATCAAGGTGTGTTTCCCGGCCAGAACTAAGAGGATGGAGCACGTGAATTTCACTCTGTAGGGTTAACCTTAGCAAAACAACAAAACCCTAAGCAAACACAACTCCGGATAATGACCTGTGTGCCAAAGCATTTCAAGATAAAGTGCACACTGTGTCTGCCAGTCGCTTAGAAACGCGGAGAGGACTGGAAGGCAGAGACTGACGGATGGGGCAGGGTAGGAGGTTGAGTGGTACCTGGAGAACGGTGTCTTCCTTTTGACTGCTGTGTGTGTCCTAGGGTGCATGGGCACAGGTCACCTCCAGTAGGACCCAGTGGTCCAAAGCAGGCAGCGTCCAAAGAGGGATCAGGACACAGGTGTTGGAGGTCCCCCCCCCCAACTGGATACCCTTTGGGACTTCCTAAAATTCTGAACTGTGCTCAAAATTATCCATTCAAATAATTAAATGTGTTCAAGGATACTTCAAAAAAGTTTATGGACAATGTAATTAAAAGTTGTTAAGTTGTAAATAAAGAATTTCTCACTAAAAGTCCAGGTCGGTTAAAGCTTCCCAGGGGCTGCTGCTCTCCGACATGCGCGAGGCTGTCTGCCCAGCGAGCTTCGGCCCCCGTTGTGGGGAAGCAGGCTGCATAGGTGCTGGGTCCAGCCCGGGGATCTGGGCAGAGCCGTGGGGGACACGGGGATGGCCCCGGGGCTGGGCTGGGCTGGGGCAGGTGGTGTGCGGGCGTCAGCCCACGCCGGGGCGCTGTGGCCTCGCAATCCCGAGCCGGGCTCGGAGCCCCAGGGGAATGATACCGCCCACGACGGTGCTACCCCGCTGTGCCCTGCGCAGGGTGGCCGGCCTCCCTCGCTCCTGTCAACTTCTGGGTGCTCCTGGCACCCAGCAGCGGCTCCTCCCTGCCAGGCCGCGGCGGTGCGCTCTCCAAGGCTGGCCCCTAGCTCCCTTTCCCGAGTCCCCAGTCCATCTCTGGAGCGACCCGGCTGGCTCTTCCCTACTGTCGCCTGTGGGGCAAGAGCAGGGCCGACTGGGTGCGCTGAGAGCGCTCAGGGCACCTCCATCAGTGTGACCCGACCAGGGACAACGTGCCGAAGGCCTGCCCCCTTGGGATGCGTGAGCGCCGCAGCAGCGGCTGGTGGCCAGAGGATGCGCCCGACGTCAGGCACCGACTGGC